GGGAGATATTTTTCTGTTCGTATAGCGAACATAGCGTACGTAGCGTGCGTCGCGTACGTAGCGCTCTGCCTACTGTACCTGCCCCGTGTCCGTTCTGGCGTACTCCTGTTAACTGTTCCATTCCCCTCTCCACCCCTTATCATGTCATCAGTATGGTTGGTCTTTTTATTTATTTCTCATTTATTTAACGGCGATTCCAGTAGCTTGGACTACACAGAATCGAAAGATTGGATGATTAACGAATGATCAATTATAAAGGGCGTCGGAGGAAGCATTTGTTATCTATATCTGTCTATAAACAGACATCGGTGGCGTCAACAAGTAGGCTCACTTGTGGATTTGTTGGTGTGTGTGTGTGTATGGGGTGGGGGGGTTCGCCCTGGAAGCCGGAGTGTCTGCTCCAGAGCATCAGCCTACTGAACAAACTGCGCTCATCTGTGAGGCTGAAATCAGCACTAAAGGAGATATTTCAAGCCAGGAACGTAGGGTAGATCTAAGAAGTAGTGGTAGTGGTGGCAGCAGTGGTAAACTTCTTTTTTAAATTCGCTAGTGGCGGGTGGAGTCCAGTTGGGTCCACTCGGCACGGAGGCCACTGATTGGCCTACTGTACCTGCCCCAGGTGATTATGATGATGGAGAATTTGGTGGAATGAAGACCGGCAGGGGAAACCGAAGTACTCGGACAAAACCTGCCCCAGCGCCATTTTGTTCACCACAAATCACACTTGACCAGACCTGGGCTCGAACCCGGGCCGCCGGGTGTTCCTACAGAAACATATACTTTTCTAGAACAACGGTCACAATTTCCAAGTCATGGACGTCTCCACGTGTGTCTGGCGACTTCCGAATCTTTTTGATTACTTTAATCAAATGGAACAATATTTCTACTCAATGACACAGTTTTAAGGAGATCCGCATGTTCACCACCGAAACTTTGCTCATGACAGATCTGGCTTCAATTTTTTACACTCTTCTCATTCTAGCACTGTGTCTTATTTTACTGCGGTCAAGCGACTCAACTACTGGATGCGAAAATTCTGTAATGAGGAGGCTCATAATAAGTTTACAGAATTCGTCAAATATTATTCTTGCGATCAAGTAGAAGGGATTAGGCCGATCTGGGCATGTAGCACACATGGAACAGACAGTAATTCCACTTAGCACTTTAAGGTGACACCCCGAAGGGAAGGGTCAATTTGTAAAACGCAGGTATAGAGTGGGAAGACTATTAAGATGGACCTTAAAGAAACAGAATATTCAGTTGTGGCGGGCACTTTGCAGGCCTGTTTCAGCTCCTTCGGTGGGTGAGTATCAGGTACTCTATGTAGCTCGCGTCAGTTCCCTGTTACAGGTCTATGATCCACTCGCAATAACAACTACCGACGGTCACCGCGTACGTCGAAGTGTTTCGCTCTCAAAATGACTCGTAAGTGGGTTCCTCTGCACCTACAGTCAGAGCCACTCTGTCTCTTCCTCAATACAGTTACTGTGACGGGGGGAAGACCTCGGCACAAATTTCTATAAAATGAAGAAACTATTAAGATTTCATTACGATGAAACATGATACAGAAGGCAGATCACACTGGTCGCGCGGTCTAAGGCATAAACTGTCTTCTCCCGCTCAAACACTAGGGTCGTGGGTTCGAATCCCACCCGAGGCATGGATGCCTGTGTGCGTTTATTCTGTGTCTGTGCTGTCCTTGCGACGGGCTGATCCCACGTATAAGGAGTCCTACAGACTGTATACAGGCTTAACAAACAGAAAAAGCGGCCAAGGTCCAACAAAGGCGCGTAGTGCCAGGCATACAGACAGATATATAGATGGATGGATGATATAGAAGCACTATTTTGTAAAGCTTTCCTTTCTTCTGAAAAACGGGACACCAATTCAAAGCCAGCTGCTACCCAAATTTAAAATACTTTGTGATTTATAATTTATTTGATGATATTATCAGTAACTTAGGGCAGTAGATCAGAAACACCTCGAAAGCTTCGAAATGTGGTGTTGGAGAAGGATGGAGAAGCTCAGTTGGACCGATTATGTGAGAAATGAAGAAGTGTTAATTAGAGTCAGAGGAATATCCTACACGAAATAAGAAAACGGAAGGCTAATTGGATTGGTCATGTTTTACGCAGAAACTGCCTTCTAAAAGAAGTTATTGAAGGAAAGATAGAGGGGCAGATAGAAGTGACAAGAAGACGAGGAAGAAGACGTAAGAAGATGCTGGATGACCTTGGGGACAGAAGAGGATATTTTCATTTGAAGGAGAAAGCTCTAGATCGCATCAAGTGGAGGAACTGTTTTGGAACAGACTGTGGACCTGTCGTCTTGACAGATTACTGATGAATGAATTATCAGTACACAGGGTGTAATTACTGGATAGTAGCGAATGCCTTGGAAAGGACACGGTCAGAAGTGGGAGTGACCTAACTGAAGGGAATATCCTGATATTTACGTGGAGGAACTGAGAAAAAACTAAGGGGAACCTGAACTTGGCGTCCTGGCTGAGATAAGAACCGGGAACCTCCAAAACGCAAGTCAGAAGCGTTACCGTGTAATCCAATTTAAGGTGACAAAAGTTCCTTTCTACAGAGAAAGGCAAGGCTCAGACGTGAAAATAAATTCAGATATCACGACAGCTATACTTTAGCGTTAAGGGAAACATTTATATTGCATTAACGTTTCTAATCGACGCGGGTGCAATCTAACGGCTTGAGACACGAACTACTGCCGTCATTCCACATGATTAAGGGTCACATACACACATTCACACGGCAGAAACGCACTATCGATCTCCGGCACACAGACCCTCTGCCTCTGCTTACAATTACGTGAAAATTAACAAGTCATCCGCAAACTCCCATAAATCGAGCTTTCGTCTTCAATTTTTATTAAATTTTGTATGGAAATTAAGAGGAGAGTGAACTCGGGTAATGCTTGCTACCATTCAGTCCAGAACCTTTTGTCTTCTCTTCTGTTGTCCAAAAACATAAAAATTAGAATATATAAAACTATAATTTTGCCTGTGGTTCTGTATGGGTGTGAAACTTGGTCTCTGACATTAAGGGAGGAACACAGACTAGGGGTGTTTGAGAACAGGGTGCTGAGGAGAATATATAGACCAAAGAGGGATTAAATCACAGGAGGTTGGAGAAAACTGCATAATGAGGAGCTTCATAACTTTTTACTCTTCTCCAAGTATAATTAGAATGATTAAGTCAAGGAGGA